TAGATAAAATAGTGAGGAATATATACATTTAAAAATATTTGATAAATATACTTACTTATAATTAAAATTGGAATTTTAAGAAAAATCATCGTAAAAAACGTATTTTGAAATAAAGGCGCGAAAAAAAAAATTAAAAAATAACTCCTCCACAAACATATGAAAAAGAATATCTTTTAATATATATTCGTGGTGGTTTCATTTTATATGATTAACTCCTTTAGAAGATATAAAGGTTAAAAGGTGGTTTTATATTTGCCCTACCGCGACCGAAAGGGTTAAACGTACAAATTTTATTCTAAAGTCTAATTATTTTAAATACAAATCTTATAACATAACCAAAAATGCTACGCACACACCACATTCAATTCAATTTTCTTTAAAATTTACAACTTAACCTATTTATCTTTTTTCTTTGAGTTTGGTAAAATTTTATTCATTCAAATTATTTATTGCTTATAACTTAAGATCAAAAAAATTCCCTCTTTTAATTTTTCCCAATTTCTAACCTATTTTATCTTTTTCTAAAAACAAACCTTATTAATCAAGAATTAATCACCATTTTTTTAAATTCCAATTTCTTTAATTTTTCCCTTTATATTTTTTATATCATTTTCCCAATATTTACTATACAAAATTTTAATTTTTTTTCTACGTTTTTATACCCTTGCTAACAGATCTCTATGGCTAGTAACCTCGCTATTATTCTCTAATCGTATCATAATATTAAAGAACAATTATTAAGCTACATAATAATATTTAAATTAACTGGCCAGTCCTCCCTTGTCAGCATTAAAATAAATAAATCCATGTTTTAAATAATATTTTATTTTATTTTTTCAAAATTTATCCCTAAATTCAACTTACTAAATTATTACATATTATGAATAAACTTTAAAGCCTGTAATCAAAATATTTAAAAAAAAATTATATTTAGACCCTCTTTTATTAGGTGTATCGACTATCACCTATTGTTGGTCAGCGTGCCCTTAGTACGTTAACGTTGGGCTAAAAAAAAATTAAAATTATGTTTTCTAAATAATTATCTCCATAAAATATATAATAACTATTTAAAATAGCCTATACTTTGAGGGGCAGAATCGCGTTAGGTATTTGACCGATCAAATACATTAGTCAATTTACCTTATTTGACCGGTTTGCCAACCTTGTTTCAGAATATGTTTTATTAATTTTATTAGTTTAATATTATTGAATTTATTCAAGTTATAACGAAAGGTGTTTAAACATTTCCTGGTCCCCTATCAGTTTTTAAATTTAATAAGACAATATCTTGGTTATCATCTTCGGTCTTCAAAATTATTTTATATAATTTTTAATGCAACAAATTTGTCTCATTTTGTATATATGTACTTATAATTAGTAAATCAAACATAACTACGATGCCTAGACAAGCAACTGTACCACTTCAACTTATAAATATGACCCTTCTATCTTTTAAAAATGATATTCTAAAGGATATTAATAGAACTTCAGCGGATACATGGATTAAGATAAGTGACGCATTTGCGAAATTAATGTCACCGAAGTCGATATATACATATATCCGTACTAATAAAAACAGTTGCTGGGATATTCTAGATATCAATGAATATATGATAACGGTAAGGAAAATTTTGATCAATTCTATTCTAATTTCGCAGAGAAAAGTTTAAAATGAATTTAATGATAACTTGTTGGAAGAGGAAGATATATTTGAAGATGAAAAAATAGGGAAAGAACAATTTGAACTTGTAATTTTAATCGATGAATGGAATCAAATGTATCCATGCGACGATAATTTCGCAAAGTTAAGATCTGGCTGGACTCATATCATTGAGAAAATCATCACCAGTCAGATGAAACTTCCCTGTACCTGGATGTTTAAAAATTATTATTTCCCCTCTAATTCCATTTATTTTTTAAAAATTAGAGCGCATTGTAAACAATGCCAGGCTATATTAAGGTTGAATTTAATTAGTTCAATACAAGATAAATTTGTAAAAAATTAATTTGCGATATATTTAATTATAAATCACATATGCATACTCTTGTTTTAAAGAGACCATTAAGTGGTTTGAAAAGAAAGGAAATAGGCAATGAATTAGAAAAAGACTTTGCCTTTAATTGGCGAAAAGGCCAACCAATCTATGGAATTTGGCGAGGTAGAACCATCTACACTTTATTCTTTAAATGTTTTAAGAAAGTGTAAGCAAACTTTTAAAAATAATAATGATTTTGATCTTAAAATGGATAATGGTGTTAATACACTATATATTTTAAAATATACCGAACCCTATATTTCAACCATTATTAATATAGGATCTGATAAATTTTATATGCATTATTGGTTGCCAGATCAAATGTGTATATATAATAAATATTGTCAGGATACAGATGTATCGATACTTCAAATTGATGCTACAGGCTCCCTGGTTACAAAAATCAATAGGCCGTATAATAAAAAATCAGGCCATATTTTTTTATATGCGGGAGTAATCGGAATAAAATTAAAATGTGGTCAAATACCTGTTGTGCAAATGCTCTCTGAGGCCCACGATATTAATCACATTTCACTTTGGTTAAATGTATGGATACAAAGTGGTGCAAAAATCCCCAAAATAGTTGTAACCGATCATTCTTTAGCTTTTTAGGCGGCGTAGCTAGATCTTTAGCAAATTTTATAGATCTGAAGGCTTATATTGAATATTCATTTAATATAGTAATGGGACAAAAATTAAACATGCCCAAGATTTATATTAGAGTTGATTATGCCCACTGTATTAAATTAATAAGCAGATGGCAGGGTTTATATAAAAAACCCCGTTTGTTTAGAGAGTTTTATATTCGCACAATGGCTAAGTTAATTAAATGTGGGTCCTTGCATGCAACAGGCAGAAATGATAATTGAGTCTTTAATAATCACATGTACTAGCGAATTTAGTGGGACTGAAATATGTCCCGATAATTGTTGAAATGCTAAAAAATACCTAAAACTTATTATATCTGGACTTGAAAAAATGGAAACTGATATTTATGATGAAGTCGATGATATTGAGATAATTAATTTAAATATAACCAGTAATCTCTATCATTGGATAGAAAATTTGAAAAATAGGGCCAAATCTAATAGTGCAATATTTGTAAAAGAAGAAAACTATTTTTATTGCCCAGATATTATGATACATTTATGCAATTTTTTGAGGACATATCCCTTATGGTCTAACATTATGCAAGCACATTATAAATATGGGCAACCTACTGCCTCTACGACTAATGTTGAAAGTTATTTCAACAACTTAAAAAATAGAACCTTAAAATCTGAAACATTACCATTACGTTTGGATAAGTTTTTTTGCAAGCATTTCAAAGAAATAAAAGGTATGATTACACTAGCGGAAGCTGCAAGAATTACAAATTTAATTAAAGAAGAAAATAGTGATTTAGATATCGTACAACAATCAGAATTTAAAATTAATGAGTTAATTAAGGGGGAAAAGATTGAAAAAATAGATATCAAATCACAAGAGACCTCTGATTTGAAAATGCAGAAATTTAAAATTAATGAAGTTTCGATTGACGATGAAGATTCAATTAATGAAAATCTAATACTTGAAAACTGGAAAGGGTTGGCGGATAAACCTATAGCAAGAAAAAAACGTTCATATTATGGGGCTCACTGTCCTGAAATTTTGCACTTAATAGAAGGCAAAAAAATTAAATTGGGATTATTAAGAAATGGAAATCTTTTTACAATGGCACATCCTTTAAAAATAGGGACAAAACAGTTTTTAATAGGTAATACATGTGCTATTGATGCATTTTCCCAAGGGGTGGCGGTGGCCTGCTGCGATAGCAAATTATATTTCTCATATTTTGATAAAATAATAAATAACGTTTTTCAGCATTTTATTAAATATTTAATATCACATGGAATTAATAAAACAACATATATAATGAGAGCTGAATTAGCGATGACAATGTTCCCCAAGATTTTAGTTACTAATACTAATGATTTATATCGTTTGTCATGTGAGGCAACTATTTTTTATGTGATCGACAAATGTTTTAAAAATATATATAGTATGAGGGATAAATTTAAATGCACTAATAATGAGTGCTATTAGACGGAGAATATAAGAAATGGCTTATATATACCAATTAATATAAACATTATAAATACAACAGGTATCCAAAACTTGGCAGCTGCAATTGAAGACACCTTGCCTGCCCAATCCTTTTGTAAATCGTGCAAGAATTTGAACCTTGTGCATGAGTACGAATTTCATGAACAAATCATTATTGAAACAACAGGATGTGAAATGTTTAAATTAAAGGATTTCCCGATATTTATAAATCTAGATGTTAAAACATATTTTTTAAGAGCAGCAATTATTTTTATACCACCTGCTGTGTCCACAGGGATAGGACATTATATATGTTATTCAAAACGAATAGATGGAACTTGGGAAGTTTATATTGACCTTTTAAAATCCATGGTATGCAAAAGAAATGACATCCAAGAAGATGTGATATGTCATGCCTTGTTATATACAATATAAGGAAAGAAAATTTTCGAAAAAGGATTAAAATATATGATGAGTGAATCAGACATGCATTTTTATATTGATTAGCTATGGTTCATCAATTTAATATAAATTGATGAATGTATCGGAAATGTATTTTTACATTGATTCGCTATGAATTCTCAATTTAATTAAAAATTTGATGAGTGATTCTGAAATGTACCTTAATTTTGATACGATATGATTACTGAAAATTTAATAAAATTTGATTAATGTGTCAGAAATGTTCTTATTTTTGATACGATATGATTACTGAAAATTTAATAAAATTTGATGAATGTATCGGAAATGTATTTTTACATTGATTCGCTATGAATCCTCAATTTAATTAAAAATTTTGATGAATGATTCTGAAATGTACCTTTTTTTTGATACGATATGATTACTGAAAATTTAATATAATTTGATGAATGTGTCGGAAATTTATTTTTACATTGATTCGCTATGATTCCTCTTATAAATTTGATGTGTGAATCTGCAATTTATTGCGCTTCTAAGTAATTTGACAATTATAAACTCTAGGAGACCCAATGTGCATACAAATGTGAGTTGCTTGAAAGTATAACCATCAATTCGTAAAGTATAAAATATTAATTTTTTTTAAAGTTCTCTTTTCATATCTTTGTCTCTTTTTTTTTATTTCTTCCTTTTTTTAGTCAATCTTATTTTTCCCTCTTTGCTCCCTTAAATTCCAACTCCCACCTTCACGGGGTGGGAAGTGAATGTGATTAGTTAATGGGGTAAATAAGATAGGTATTCATCTAACAATAATAACTTAATTTGGCTTTAAATTATAAATAAAAAGGTAAAAAATTGTAGGCAAAAATTAAATGCGCCCGTCTTTCTTGACTGTAGTACTGTTATAATTAGTTATCATAATACAAATAAAAATAAAGTTTGACCATTAATATTGTTCAACATTTCGTTACATAGCTTCTACAATTAAGCCCTTGACACTTCCTATGCAAAAATATATTTAAATTAAATCCATATTATGCTAGAGAAAGAATTAAATTTGTCGTAAAAGTTCAATATAGTACTGGAATTATTAAATTAGAAAATATATGATATTTTCTCCGATCTTATATATTATATGGTATTTGCTGAAGTTTCCTAATCCTATAGAATAAGGTATATTTTAAAATATCAAATGAATAATATATATGATTTTAGGATTGAAGAATGTTTTTATCTTGGGAGGAGCTTATCAAATCAAATGATTATACACGACCCCTAAATAAATTATGGCATTTGTGACAACAGAAATTGTGAATTGAAAATTATCCTATACAATTCAAATAAAATTATATTGCATTATATGTATTAAAAAATTAAATATTATTTATAACTATGCCATAAAGGTTTTTTAAACTATATTTCCATTATATTCGTATTTGTTTATATTTGTTATATAGAATGTTTTATTGATTATATGCTTATTTTCGCTAATTGCTGTTTTATTCGTTGAAAATTATATCATACATTTTTTATAATTTTTTCCTTCTTTATTCTTCCATCAATATGTAGTTATAATATTCGAATAAAAATATAACACTCATATTCTACAATCTATTTATATTATCGAGTAACAGTTTTAAAATAAAAAGATATAACGCTTGAGGATTATATTTTCGACCACTAAGTGGAGTTGGACTTGCATTTTTATTAACTTCTTTAGTTGTTTTGATAATTTCTAGAGAAGAGTTTGAATACAATTATTCATATCTATCTATAGAAACATAATCAATTTGATAGATTCTTTTCTTAAGATTCTAAAGAGGTGTCAGAAAATTTGAATTATTGATATGCTATATTGAATCAGGGTAACTATCAGAATTCCTGCATAATTATATTGATAATAATGAGATCTAAATATATGTTTCATCGTTAGTGCTTTCATAATTTTCTAGCCAAAATTTGACCTCTAAAAATTTCTTCAGCATTTTACAATCTTTTCATATGACGGTTAAGTAAATTAATAACGTAATTTAAATACACTAATTAAGCACTAAATAATGGTGAAAACCGGATGTATAGTACTCCTATAGTTTTTGTTTTGGCACGTCGCCATTATTTGTTTATTTTTGTTTTTTTCGTGAATAACTTTTTATTCTTAAATTCGGCTACGGAACTGATTGAAGCACTAACCTCTACTAACGAAGCACTAAAGAATGATATAAGTTTCATCGTTAGTGCTTCCAAAAGTTCGGCCAACTTCACGCCTAAATCGTGGACGTCATAGTTTTTATTTAGCTTATAACATTTTTTTATAAGGCGGTTAAATAAATTAATAACAAAATTTAAATACACTAATTAAGCACTAAATAATGGCAAAAACCGGATGTTTAGTACTCCTATAGTTTTTGTTTCGCCATTATTTGTTTATTTTTGTTTTTTTTTGCTAATAACTTTTTATTCTTAAATTCGGCTACAAAACTGGATTGATAGCACTAACCTCTACTAACGAAGCACTAAAGAATGATATAAATTTCATCGTTAGTGCTTCCAATCGACTTTTAAGCGTGAAGTTGGCACAAATTTTTATTTTTGCCTATAACTTTTTTTCCTTAAATTCGGCTACTATACGGATTGAAGCACTAACAAGCACTAACGAAGCACAAAAAATGACATATGATTCATCGTTAGTGCTTCCAATCGTTCGGCCAACTTCACGGAGCTCTATATTAGACATTCTTATTTCATAAGGCCAAAAAGAACATTAAAAATTAATAAATAAATAAAATTAAAAGAGGAAACGAAACGCGCATAAAACGCTTTTTAAAATAATATTCCTATTTATCACGATTAAAACGTGATAATACCGTATTATCATTCTTTAACTTAAAATAAAACCCTAATTTTTTAGTTATCCCTTTAAAACCCCTGAAGATCCCGGATAGTTCTGATCCCTTTAAAAATTACGACATGTATATATTTAAAAATTTTTAAATAAAGATTTCAAATTAGAGTAGAAATAGACACTCAAAAAATGAAAGTGTGCTGGAAAATATCTGACAGCTGCTGACAGATTATTGAAATTTTTTAATAAAATGTTTCTTAATTTTTTTTATAAAAATGATATAAAATATTAAACTGATGGGATTTTGAGTTTGTTCTTAAGCAAAATTTAAAAAAAGGGATCCAATTAAATTGAAAGAAAATTAACCCAATTAAAAAAAATTACCACATATAACGTAAGCGGATATATCATTGGGCAAAAAATAATCCAATAATATTGGAAGAAAAGTAAACCAATAAAAAATTACATTTGTTTCATATGTATTAAATATATTGCTGTTATTAATGATGGTGCATAGGTCTTGTCTCCAACCAGTAACCAAGGTAAATTAGGAAGAAGGTGCAGTGATATATCTTATGGGGGTTTATCATTCTTAATTTGACGTATCCGGATCAAGGAATCGCTTATTTAATAATATGATACAGGTGAGAGACCAGCAGACTGGACAGCCAGGCAAAAATTATATAAAATCCAAGCTGGTCTTAAAAATTTTAAAAAAATTAAAAATTCGGCCAATGAACCGGCTTTTAAAAAATAAATTTAAATTATTTTAATTAATCCGTTAGAAGATCTTAGAAAATTATATAATAGTTAGTTTAATATTCATTTACTGCTCATATCCTCATCATTTAACTTATGAAACAATTTCAAATTATAGACAAAATTATTTAAAATAATGAAAGTTTGAAAATTCCAGCCTAAAAATCCGGGGCGAGCCAGAAAAAATATTCTAGAAAGATTTCGGGCAGGGCTTGAAGAAATAAAATATCAAGGGTAAATATTAGGTAAAGAGGGGGGAAAATTATAGCTAATAAAGGTTAGTTGCAAATTTTTTGGGCGAGGTGAGGGTGGGGGGGGGGCATAGGAACTGAAGTTCAGGTAAAAGGGAGGGTACGAGATTAGAAGTAGGTAAAAATAAAGAGATAGGTCTAATTGTTTTAATCTAATCAGGCCTCGGCCCCAAAAAATTATGTAATTTATATTATCAATTCCGCATCAAATGCCACATCTAATTATATATTATCAATTCCGCATTCAAAGGCCTTTGACAAATTTGTAATTTATGATTAGAAATTTAAATTAAGATTGATGCAATTGTAATTTGACAAAAATCACACATATTTGTTTTATAAAATGTGAGAATTCCTTAATTGTCTAGAATATGGAGACACTTTATCAGCTAAAGCCATTTAAAAAAAATCATAAGATTTATAGAAATTATTAAAGCTTTAGGATTAGTGTTGTTAAACAGCCCGATTCGTGTCGATTTTTAGAAACGACCTGATTAAGGTTTTAACCAAAATATTATTATGTAAACCTCGAGATTTAGTAAATAGAGGTCCAAATCTATCTAGTGGTTTTTTTTTATCCATACACACTAATATACGTAAGGACAACATAGGGATGGGGATGTGATCTGCATCGGGCCTAATTTTTCAAGCCCGGCCTGGCCCGAAATTTTTTTTAAAGTTTTGCCGGCCCGGCCCGAATCCGAAATTTATTTTAAAAAAATTTACCAGCCCGGCCAGGCCTGAATTTATATAAATATAGAAATTAATTTTTATAATTACTTAAAATAAAAGACATATGTTATATAGCGTTTAGTCAATAAATTAAATCAAAATTTTTTATTTTACATAAAAAATTCAATATAAAATTGATAAATTTAGATATATTTAATAAAATTTACAAGGTCCGACCCGACCCGAATTTTTTTTAAAAATATTAGGTCCGGCCCGGCCCGAATATCTTAAATAGAGGCCCGGCCTAACTTTGCAGATCTCTAATGGGGATCACCTCTAAGTCTTAACCTTTAGAATTCTAATAATACATAATGGTTTGAATAACAAATGTATATATGATAAGGGCATTCACACAATATATTTTTTAAATTCCATTCATTTTAAATCTAATAAAAACCCTATATTTTTGTGGCATCCGGGATTAAAATTTTAAACGCACCATTGTAATATTTTTTTTAATATTCTTTATAAATCGCAAAGTTTTATTAACATATTTATTTTAAACAAGCATATGGTTTTGTGGTTTTATTCGTATTTTAGAATTTATTTATTTTTTTAAATAAAATAAGAATTTTGGTTAAATTATGGTATTTCGTTCATCTACTTCTCCCTATCTTTTTAAATCTTATTTCTAATGCGTCATGGCAAGCCCACCAAACTAATCAACTATTTTTCTATCTTTTAAGTTATATTCATAATATAAATTGAATCCAATAAAATATAACATAAAATTAAAAAACTCTATTATTAGAAGTTGAAAGAATAACAATTTTATTAGACGCTTTTTGTGACATTAAATACTTATTTTATTATTTATTATTTTATTTTTTTTAAAATAAAAATCGATAAATTTTAAATAACGGTCATCGAATTGATATTATTTATTTATTTAATTATATTTACTACCCACTCAACCTTATAAATTATTTAATTTGTATAACCTTATAAAAATAACAAAATCAACTTGACATTTTATTTGATTTGCGTTTTTATATTATGTATAAATGAATCAGTTGTTCAAATAATTTAATTACATTATCTGATAACATATCTAGCCATATTGTTATTTCTTTTAAGATGTTACCTGAAATATTCCGTAAAAAGTATTATATTGCTGCAAATTAAATATATTATCTATCCTATATTTAAAATTACTAACATTTACAAGAAATTTTTAATAATTTGAAAAAAAGATTCAGAACTAAAAATATTTGAATTTTAAGAAAATATTTAGTTAACTAAAAGAGATTTTAATTTTCTGAATTTCTATATTTGAGGTAACATAATTTAAGATAAATAGATCAGATTGGAGTATACTTGTTCGAGGTCTCTTTGTGGGCGTCTTTTCGTCTGATTGATAAATATATTGAAGTATTTACCTTTTAGTCTTATAAAATATTTTTATTGGGTATATAATTATCACTTAAATTTAAAAAAAAATAATTAAAATGATTTATTTTTGTAATTTAATATTCGTCAGAACATTGGTTCAGATTCTTATCTTCATGACTCCATGTAGCCTATTAGATCTTTTGTTTATGTATACATTTAATTTTTTTTGTTTTAACTTATATTTAATGAATATATAGTTAAGTCCATAAAATTTAAATATATTATTTAACTAATTCAAACGCTATTTAACTTTTTAGAACTTACAAAAATCTTCATTGAAATTTAAGTAACGTTTTTTTTTATATTAGCAAATTGAAATAGTAATAATGTATGTGGTTAATCTTAAGACAATTTCACTTTATATAGTAAATTCTTTTAATAGTTTATGGTAAAATTTCCTGAAATTCAAATCAAGGGTAAGTGCTCTATATGCTGGGATTCATTTCCGAAAATTCGATATTTCAGATTAAAATTCACGCTCAGTAAATGATATAAAATTGAAAGATTCTAAATCCTCAGGGGAGGTCCATAAGTCATTATTCTAAAAAGACTTGGCATAAGATATAAATTTAAAAAAAATCAAATAATCAATTTGATAAATTGTTTAATAAAATATTTTTCATATTTATCAAGAGAGTCTGTTTGATTTGAACACAAGAATGAAAGTTTGGTTTTAATTTAGCATATTATTCACTTTTTTTTTATGCGAATAAGGTAATTCATATTTTTGAAAATAATTATTTAAAATATTTAATTTCCCAGCTGCTTTCAATCCTGGTTTATCATTCACAATAGAAGTATAATCTTACAATTTTATATTTTTTAAAGAACTTTGTAATACTTAAAAAATTTTCCAACTATTCCCATATAATTATATATATGTATTAAAGATCCATTGCGGCATTCTAAAGAAGTTATCTTTTTTTTAGTATGTCTATGTTATTATAAATCGATAATATTTTTGTTAATAGATTATAAAGTAACTCCAGAGATAATCTTGTTTTTACATGAGCAAAATAAAGTTTAGTTAATCATATTTATGTATGGCTAATGTAATCATTTTCTATTTTTAAAAAAATTTCTATGATAATCTATTGCATATTATATTTAAAAGAATTTTAAACGTTAAAATTTGAATATTGTTAAAAATTATGTTTGTTATGCAAATTAAAAGATTTTAATTTGAATTATTTAAATATTCATAAACAAAATATATAAATTATCTAAAAATTATTCCTCATTTTAAAAAAACCAAATACCTCACGTGGTAAATTCGTTATTTTTATCGTTTGCTCTACGTCGTTAAATCTTAGGTAAAAAAAAGTAGCTGTACATCAATTATGAAAAGCAATTACAATGATAATCACCGCTTACTACAATCCAAATTATATTCGAATCATAATCATCTAGTAAATAATAAAGTTAAAGAATATTCTAAAAAGAGTCAGAGTTTAGCTGAAGAACCATTGCTATCTCTACCATGTAAAAATTATGGTAAGGAAAGTAAAAATTCAAACAAAACAACCAACCATACAAGAAATACAGATTTTAGAGAAAACAATGGTTCGATTATATTGTCCCCCGTTGATAATGAATACCCTCGTTTTAACAAAGCCAAGTCAAAACCTTCGAGATCAAAATGTTCTAATGAAAATGATAATAATACCAATAAATTTAACATAGATCATCATTATAATAAGTATGGATCAGATATATATATTATAGATAATGATAATAGTAATGATAAGGATAAGAATAATAGGGATTACCAAGAACGACGTGCTATAATATTAAACCATAAAAATAATCTTTCCAAAGACTATTTATCAGAGAATTATGTGCACATTAATAAGAATAAGAAAATTAGCGAAGAAAGAAATCATATAATTGTGGATGAGGTTAATCAAAGCCCGCGCAACAGTCTGATAAAGTCGAATCTTATAAAAGATCTAAATGGCTTTGGTAAAAAATATAATAATAATGACAATAGCTATAACCCTGAATATTCTTACAAATCACAATGGGTGGATAACAACACGTGTATCACAGCCAACACCAGTTATTGTAACTTGGAGAATTGGTACGGTGAAGAGGAGACAAATGTTGCGGATAATATTTCAAAATGGCGATCCAAGACAGCGCATAAAATTTTTCCCAACAATGAAATCGGAAAAAGTAACTGCAAGGAAAAGTGGATTTTTGAATACTTGGATACGTGGCCGGTATCGACGCAACATAATTTTAAAGAAATCGATAGAACGCCTATTTTCCTTAAATTTTTGTTTTACATGAAAATAATATCCCTCAAAATTTGCTGCCTAATTATAATCGTGTTTTCCTTGATATCGCCCATAATGTTTATTGCCGTACCGTCTACGTTATCTTACATAAGAATTAATAATATGATTGGTGTTTCAAATGTTACAATATCATCCGACGCCCTAAATTGGACTAATTTATTGAATGAAACAAAATTTAAGACAAGTAGGGCATCCAATTCTAATCAAACAATTAGTAAAAATGATAATAAATTGGATGATAAGTCTTCTAATACCAGTCTCCGAAGGATTGAAAAATTGAGGAAAAATATTGATACCTATATTCGAAAAAATTATAGAAATAAATATATGCGGAGAAAATTCCACAATAAAATTAATAATAAACGTAGGCACATGGAATACGTTACAAATCACGAAAATAATGATGGTATAAATACTTTTTATATTGAGCCACGAGATAATCAGGAAATATTTAGCAACCAACGTCATCTACCACCGATAAATACCAAGTATTTAATTATGGATCACTATCATGTTTGTTCGTATTCAAAATTTAAACTCTGGAAATCGCGGATGTGTGCATCTCTCTTTAGTCAATGTAATGTATCATGCCAAGGCGAATTAACCTTTTTACTGGTTAAAATTATAATAATCGTTTTTTTGACATGGAAGATTAATTCAAAATATTCGTGCCTTAAAAACTCACAATTAAACGCAAAAAATACTGTGGACAATCATGACAAACCAAATTTACTAAATAAATTTATTTATATATTCCACTTTGCTCCTTCTCAAAATGCAAACAATAGGTTTATTTTACCGTATAGGTCATCATTAAGTTACATTAGATTAAGTTTATTATTGGTTTTGGTATGTTACATAACTTTTTACTGGGTATTCTTTGCCACCAAAATATTGCTACCAATTCTATCAGAATATCCAAGCATCATAGACCATCAACATCAAATAAATAACATCACGGAGGAATACGATAACGATGCATATTATAAATTTGACGATATAGTTAAATATTCGGATTCTTTTACGAATTGTTTAATTTTGATATACGTTCTCTTTTCAATACTCATAATCTTTAATAGCGAAACTTGGGACCATGATAATATAATGTTCTCCGCTAAATGCACCCGCGCCTTTGATGGAATATCAAAAATTTATCATTTACCATCGTGTAGTATACAAAAGGCCGCTATGTTATTACTCGATTTTTATCACAAAGATTACCCCTATCATGATCCTTACCGATATTCCGACAATACCAAATTAATGACCAATAAAATAAATGAGGAAATAAAGAACGTCACTCTAGAAAACCAGAATAATATTAGGAAAATAAATATTGACTTGCGAAAGGACCTCATAAGAAATAATGACAATAAAAAAGTTCATGAAAAATATATTTCTAAAAGTTACCTAAATAGTAAAGGTTCAGCTTCAGAAATTTTACCATCAGAAATCAAACATCATCAAAAATATTTTGACTTTGAAACCTTAAATAGCCGTAACAAATGTTTGAATCCTATAATCGATAGTCATTCTAAAGATGCCATAAAATGTGACCTCTATGAAAATAATAATCCCCAATCAGTTTATAATCTAAATAGTCGGATTAATTGTCATGATATCAACAATTCCAGACAATATATTCATAATGTAAATCACTGCACAGTTAAAAATAATAATAAAAATTTAGGTAAATCACGTTTAAATGATGATAAATTATGTGAACAAACTACTTCGAAAGAAAAGATATTGTTCAAAAGGGATAAAAAAATTTCATCCCCCATATGCCATAATAAACGATTTTACGACGAAGAAGATTATGAATTAAAGGTGAAAAGGAGACGGGCTCGTTTGATAACCTCTGCGGAAGAAGCATTTAATAACTTTGATCGTGTAAGCAAAGAATCTCTTAATTCTTTATCCAACAGACAATCGATGGTCATCAATGTATCATCTTCCAACACACATGCTCAAAAAAAATTGCTAGGAGTCGAAGGTTAGTTTTTTTTAAAAATATTTATTAGAAGAATATAAAATACTTTAACTCTTTAAAGTCCAACTTTTTTTAATAAGGAAAGAAAATTTTTTTTTAAAATAAATTCATTATTTATACACCCATTTAATGGAAAATTTATGTTTAAATTTTATATTTTAAAAAAATTAATGATTCTATATGGCATCTATGGGCGCCAAAAAACAAAAATTATGTTTTTTAGAATAAAAATGCTAGCATTAATAAATATTGTCAGATTATAAGTACAATCAACAGGTAATAGCAGGTATATCATAAAAACTAAAAGAAATAGAACCTTTGAGGATATAGTAAAACATATTAAAATACAAGCATAGCCTATTTTAGCCTGAGAATTAATAAAATACGATTGAAATTATTATATAATTATATTGTAATGTCAAATTAATCATTAAGCTTTCGGTTATAAAATAACATCTTAGTTGATGATGTCAAATCAGCTCACAGGACTTTAAAGACGTTTTTCCTATAAAACACTTTTTTAATAAATTATATTACTCTATGGTCTCGTTTATAGTATATATAGTAAGGGAGACCGGGGCTCTCCGGTGGGTGGGATAAAAGGGCAAACGGCAATAATTTTTTATCTTTAGGGTTAATAGTTTCAAATTTGATTCTTTTTTTAAATAATATTTATCAAAAAACAATTTTTTAGCCTTTTCACCAATTTTTCTTTTAAGTATTTTTTGCATTGAGGAAAATATACTTCTTATATGCCATATTGCCTATAGACTATGGATTAAACATGATCGACTAAGGTTTCTAATTTATTTAGAAAGGTTTCTAATTTATTTAGAAAGGTTTCTATAGTCATTTAAAATCTAACTCACTACCACAGTGGTTAAACTTCAGAGGGGAAAAGGCAAGTAAAGGAGCATTAAATTAAATTGCATAAGAAAAATTTATTAAAATCGAAAAACGATTAATTAAAAAATTAACGAAAAATTGGAAATAGTGCGGAAAAAGTCATAACCATAGTAATGGATGAAGCGTACCAAATGTCCTAAATTACCCATATTGTGAAGATTAATTTTTTAAAAATATTTATAATTTTTAATAATGTGAATTAAATTTGATATTTCCCATCTTACCCTGAAGGACTTGCCATCTTACCTAGGGTCATTAATAAATAGTAAAAAAAACACTGCTATCCAATGATACAATTAGTTTTAAAAGAGAAAAATGCAGTATAACCCCGCCCCCCCCCTTAGCCGTGATTCAAGTGATGCTTCATTTATTGCTAAACGATAGCATAGGTATTTTTTAAATTACGCATCACTTGAATGACATCGCGATTATTATTAACGAGACTTAAGTTTAAGATTTAAAGTGATAAAGTAACAAGATATGGAAAGAGTTAAAATTAAATTGAAAATTCCTTTTCCAACATTGTTACTATTTTCAAATTTATTAGAAAATAAAATGATAATGAAAGTTGAAGAAATAGCCCAAGCTATATTCCCATCGCTCGTCAAGAATATGCACAAATTCATCAGATTAACAAAACAACAATCATTTTACAATATCAATATGATATTGGAGCATTTAGCCAAATTCATTAAATACGATATGGGTCCATATTCATTTGTGGATCAATATATTAACCCAGGTTTAGCCTTAAATTCTGAGCATTCTCTTTTATATTAGAAATTATATATTATAAGTAATATGAGTGATCAAATAATCCTTAAACATGTATTTGTCTGACTAATATTTCAGTCAATCCGTGTAATTTAAGTTTAATTTTAATAAATAAACTAAATTTTACTCAAAAGTTCATGATTAAATTGCCTGAAATTCGCAGGATAAGTGTTCTACACACAATGAAATACATTTTTGCAAAATTGGATCTGCATATTAAAAAGTGCATTTAACAATTTACTTTACTATTTTATTTAAAATATTTATTTAGCCCGTTTAAATTTAAAAAATCTGACTCTGTCAGAAATGTATTCCAGTGTGTATAAAATATCTACCCTATAGATTTGAGACAATTTAATAAAATATTAACATAACTTGATTTCGTATATTGTAGGAAGACATTTTATCTTTATATAACTATGTTAGGAAATATTGTTAGAATAATATGGGTAAAAAAACAGTATTCTATTTAAATATAGTAAAACGTGTTTAATTTGGGCTCTTGATAATTCGGGAAATTCCCTAGTTTGACCATTGTTAGTCTAAATTAAATTCCTATTAACTACTATTAGAAAGTAAAGAACTTGATAAATTTGGTATCTGTCTAAGTTCAGCTAAAATCTTGGTGGCATGGCCCAAATTAGATATATTTTACTCAATTTTTAAAATTGAAACTATATTTTTTAAAAGATGGGATTGGGTATTTATAGTCCTTCATAAGCTATAATCCTTCTAATTTTTAAATCTCTCTATGAATCATTTTAGAGGAGGGAACAATTAAATTTCGGCATTCTCGCAAAAATTACTCATTTAATAAATATAAGCCTTCCCCTATCAATAATTATTGGCATATTTATGAATATTTTAGCAAAATGTCTTATATAACTTATTTTAAGAATGGATAAATGTTTTTATAATGATAGTTAAAATTTATTGAAGGACTAGCCTTTTTAGCCTTCGCCATTTTTTTACTCCTATTTTGACCTCTTGGAATTTGACCTCATTAGGAAATTTATAAATATTCTATCTAATAGCGATAGTAAGGTATTCAAAATTATATTTAAAAAAAAAATTGGTACACTAGCAATAGCTAGTTATCCAATTATCGTGATGGAAATTTTTTTTATTAGCGTTGAATGCAAATTTTTAAAATTGATCAAAATCAATTCATGTTTTTAAATTTCATAAATATATCTTGGATAGTAAATATAAATAAATTTTGATTTTTTTTATATAAAAATATTTTTATTTAAAAAATTCCTTATTTTTAAATTTAAAGTCGAAAACGCGTTTTTTAACATATATTTTTATTATTTTTCATTAAAAAAACTTTAAATTTTAATAATAAAATTAATTTACCCCTGTTCATACAGTACAACTAATGGGTCAAAAATTTATAGAAAAACAAAAACTATTCCAAGAATAATTCTAATGTTTAATTATTCTTATATACAAAATTCAAAATTTGGATTTCTGTGAATATAATTATTCAAAAAAAATTTCAAATTAATTTATTCTTAAAAATACCTAAATTCATCACAGTTATTTTATTAGATTTTTAATTTATTTTTTTCGATGAACTTAATTAGTTTTAAAATCTCTTAATATGTCTTAATTAGTAAGAATATTTTATTTCATTTAATTTTAAAATCGGTACATTAATCAATCAATCACTGGATTATTATTAAATCTTGGTCATACATTACATTAGAATGTTAAAATTATTAAGCGTGCTTGATATTATTATTTTATCTTATTCATTTAATGTGTACTAAATATTCTTATTTTTTCTTCTAAATTTACCAAACATTCTCTTTATTATTTAAAATCTATGTATTGATTCTTGTGGAGATTGTTATATATTAGTTAGAACTTAAAAAAAAGATTTACATCGTATTAAATTTAAAATGCACACTTAAATTATTCATGGATATTTTTTAAAATAAATAGTTAGTCCAAAAACCATTTTTTTATAGTAGAATTTTCACCGAGCACTATAATGGGTCTTAATTTGATAAGGTTAACTTTTATTACAGTTTTTTTTAATTTATCGTAAAATTGATTTTTATTGTCTCATTTGCCTCGAATTAGAAACCTGTTTTTAAACTTATGATAAGGGTTGACGGTATAGTTGCTATTAAGTGTAAAACTCATAATTAAAGGTCTTAAAATGATGTATTTTTGTTTATTTGTCGTTATATAATTATAATATTGTCTTTTTAGTCAATACCATTCATAATGAAAGATTGAATCAAGCTTTGCAGGATTGGATAGTAATCTGTGAACAACCACTCACATCAACTTTAAAAGATTCAACCATATTTCAATTAAGAAAAGATTCGATGAAACTTTTTATTGAAGTTAAATGTATGCCGAAATATATATTACACGAACATATTTTAAATCCAAATCTCGATAACTTTTATTATACCATCGATTCAAAAATTATAGTATGACAAATATATTTTTTACAAATAATTTTTATAAAAAATACTTTATAGTATTATTGGAAGTCTAGAATTTAACCGATTTCTAAAAAGGCGAAATTAAGATTTTAGAGTAAAAATATATTACATAAGTCACGAGGTTTGGTCAAAAGACCTTTAATTTGGCTAAATCGAGGTTTCGATAACACTGAAAACGCTAATACAAATGAATACAAGTTGTTTTATATATTATTAATTACATAAAATAAAAACTGAAAATAATATTTTTTATTAAATTTAGCTGGTTGCTACATATTAGTTATTTTTATTTTGATTTAAGAGATCATGTTCTTTTGTAAATAATGTATTTATGATAATAAATGTCTTGGGAAGGCTAGCTCTGAAAATACTTACTAAAATAAAAAACTAATTATTATGCATAAAATCATGTTAATATTCAAAAAGTAAAATGATTTCGAATAAAGAAGCAATGGTATTTATTTTTCATATATACACTTGTAGTTAATTAAAATACTATTTTATTCTAATCGATATTAAAGTCTGGAATGAGATTATATAAATTTAAGGTATGAAAAAAATCTTTCCAAACCATAAAAAGAAATGTGAAAACATTTTTCTACCTTAATTTATAAATTATTATAAATAATATGAACTGAAGAATTTATCATTGATGAAAATTGTATATTGAAAATCAGAAATATTAATTTATGAGTAAATTTAATGATACAATTTTAATTTTTGTATTTACATCTAATGAGATTGAGAGAGTAAAATAAAATTCACGAGGAAAATAGAATGGAATTGCAATACTTCTTTATATTGTGGTAATTAAATTTTTTCTATTAATTTTATTAATTGCTTTTAAAATTTTTCGATAAGCAAGAACGCTTTGTACACTAAAAGTGCATTTCACTGGAGGATGGTATTGTAGTGTTGAATCTGATAAATAAGGTCTTAGTTCTGAAATTTATTGAAAATATTTAATGTTTTATCGTTTGTTTGAAAATAAGGCTGTGTCCAAAATCTAAAAAATATAAATAAATAAATTTTGAAGAAAAAAATAACATAAGCTATTTTTAATTTAAAAATAAAATAGTGTTCTAAATCATTTTCCGTCATTTACAAAAATTTATATTTTTTAAAAACATAATAGAAATTAATAAATTTATTCAAAATTTATTTATTTAAGTAATTTTTATGAAAAATCTAGTATGTTTTTCGTATTTTTTTGTTATTTTTGATTTTTTTTAGTTATGTTTTCTTTATTACTTTTTTTGTTTTTTTATAAAAAAAATAATGGAAGATTTTGGACATGTTTCATAATTTTATTAATTTGCCAAAATTTATAAATTTTGAGGTTTTTTTCAAAACATTTTAAACACAGCCTAAACAATCATCGTCCGGATTTTCTATAATTTTTCATCAAAAAAAAAGATTATATTAAAGACTCTCTGTTCTGAAGCTTCTATATTTTTAAAATTTCTACGAGTTTCTTAAATTATGATACAAATCTATTTTTAATCATTTTATTCTGTGAGAGCATTATCCAATAATTATTTCATGTGGCCCAAAATATTGTGGAGAAAATACCGATCTTACATATGCTTAAATCTAAAAGGATCAAAATATAAATATAATAAATTTGACGATAATAAGTAAAATCATGTTAAACATTATATTTTTTAATTTGAGTATTATCGTTATTGTAGGTTTCAAATAATCCATGCATGTTATCCTCATTTTCTAAAATGAAAAATGTGATGGCTATTGGTTTGGCTCTATGATCTATTAAAATATCTTTATATTATTTATTTTGATATTTTATTAAAGAATTAAAATTGAAATACGAATTGTAATTAGTTCATGGCAAAAATTTGTCACCTGAGCTCGAACTATCAGATATATACATCTAGAAAATAATATATAAACTTAATCAATAAAAAAAGAAGTCATATTTGAGCTGAATGCTAAAAAATCTTTATAGGGAACAGCTGAGCTGTGTGAAATTGAAATCTCTTACTTAAAAAAAAATTAATTTGTTTTTAATTTTAAAAAATTGTAATTTTTTTCAAATGGAATTTAAATTTTTTAATTGAATAAATATTGAAAATTAAATCTTTTTTAACTTTTTAAATTTCATGTAAAAAACGAACGCCTTCATCAAAATAAAAGAATGTGCGCACGTTCAAGATTTGTCTAAAATAAAAGGAGTTCACCATGTTTTTTCAAAAAAACGAATTCAACGGTAATTTAATTTAAATGCTACATGTATTTATTCTGTAGAAATTAATTTTAGATAAAAATCTTATATTTTTTAATATAAAAGTTTAAAAAAATGAAAATTTGGAAATATGAACAATACTTCGTGGTACTTTTTAGCCTTTCGCAACTCATATGTAATTTGAAAATACATTTTTCAAATATTAAATGCATCATATTTAAATTTATCTATATTATATATATCACGCCACGCGGAAGAAGTTTTATTTACAACTGTCAAATAATTTACTAAAACAAGTCAGCCATATAATATTGTCATTCGTGATCCTAGACCAACTCATGGTTTCTGCGTTCTTAATATATAAATTGGTTAATACACATTAAAGGTCTGCAATAGGAGGTTTTTTAGCCATTTTTAAGAAAATTTAACTCTCCAGCCCAATCCGCCCACAGTTAAAAAAATATACCCTCCCGCCCATAAGTTTAAAATTTTTTGTCCGCCAGCCCATTAGCCTAAAATTTTTTACCCGTCCGCCCATTATATAAAAAAAATTTAACCCATGCCTCCTTTAAAATTTAAATAAGTTCATTCTTTCAATTTTTTTTAAAATCTAATTTTAAAAAATGATTGAGTTTCAGCGCTATACACCCCTACAAAAAAGTTTTATAATTTAGGAAATTGCTATATTAAGCAAAAAAAATATTCAATTTAAATTACGTGTAAGGAATTTATTTGATTTAATAAAATATTTAAAAATATAAATATAAAATTAATATTTATTGATATTATTCCTAATTATACAAAAATAATAAATAATCCACGTTTTCTGGTTTCACGCACGTTCTTTTTTTGTTCTATAAACCTTCCAGCAATGTTAATTCCTCGTACAGAGGAAGGACTGGTTAATCTTGATAGCTTGGAAAAAATTTTTCTTGTCATTTCCACCAGTAGGATATCCGTTTGAAATATATCCTCTACTTAAGTGGATATTTAAATAAAAGTGAAACCATTAATAATAAATAAAAAAAATATTTAAATTAATTGTTTATAAATGATAAACTTAAATTAAATAAGTGGGCTAAAATCTCGCTAAATTATACAAAACCTCGCTACTTTAAGATTTTAATATTTTGTTATGTCATTAGGTAAGTTGCTCTCCTCTGTAACAGCTACACCTTCCCATCTGTTGTTTAATTTTGACGTGGATACTATCTATTTCAAACATTGCATTTATAATTTAATACCTTTAATTGAATTATCTTTGCTTTTGGAGAAGCGGGTAAAATCAGATTTTCATCCAGATATCAAATAACAAATAAAAGTTGTAAATTTTTTAACCCACCAACCCATAGTTTAAATATTTTTCTTAACCCGCCCAACACTTCTTTAAAAAATATAACCCCATCGCCCGCCCACTTAAATAGGCTGGCTGGTTAAGAACCCGCGCAGTGCAAACCTCTAATACATACCCCGTCAAAACCCACCCCAGATTTTCACATTTAATTTCAGTATATCAAATTTATGATAAAATTAAGATTATTATTTTTTATTTAAAACTGATATTGAGTTTGAGTTTGAGTAATTTTATAAAATATTCTATTAGGTGGCGTTAAAATTAAAATTTGCATTTAAAAATTTCCATAAGCATTGTTTCTTAAAAACATTTAAGCGTCGTATTAAGATACATTTATAGTTTTTCAAATCTTAAGGCATATTCTTTTTATTCTTTTATAAATATTTGATAAGGAAATACCTGCCCCGGAATCAAATTATCCCGGTCTCTCTTAGATACAAAAAATAATAACAGACTTGACTATAGAAACTATTATATATTTTAGAAATTGATATTAAAATCGTATATTTAGTAGGTAGGGCTTTAAATTTTCAAGGCAATCGAGTATTTTTAAAATCTATAAATTTTAGACAATTCTGGGTTATAGTTTTTAATTTATTTAAAAATCTATACACCAAAATAATATAAATTAAGAGTAGGAGAGCCCGGAGATCTTATGAGCCCGAGCTTCTTGTGAGCCTTGAAGTTTTCCCCTAGAGTTTTCAACCCTAATGATTAATTTTTTAACCAAATGGCTATAATTTTTTTAATATCGGATCACATATAAAATTTTTATAGCACAATATATGATTTATACCCTCAAAAGTAACTTTTTAAATTCTGCAATTTATCAAATAGAAATAATAAACGTTTTAATTATCCAAAAACTATCTTATATAAAAGATTAAACTCTATTCTATATAAAATTATTCTTATTTGAATAAAAAATATGTTTAAACTACCATAAAATTAGGTCTTTAAAGATAGGGTCTGGGGCTATTTTTTTTTGCTTATTGAAATGAAATTTGAATATGGTAAGAAAATCATATTAGAAAGAAGAAACAACTAATAAATGATGAGATTATTCATAAATTTAATAAAAACCTTTCCTTGCTAGTATGGGGAAAACAAACTTAGGTTACGCAACAAAGATATAAATCAAAATTAATGAAACAACAAGATTTCATATTATAAGACAGATATTCAAAAAAGTGAAAGAAACTATATTTATATTACATTATCCAATTAATATCTAAAATGTTTATTGGTCTTTGTCCCATCTAAATGGGCATTTTTGGCATGGATCTATTGCAATTTTAATCAATTCTTTATTTTTTTAAATTGTCATTAAATTTCACTAATTTTTTTAATAATTATTTTTCATTATAGCTTATTTTTTCAATAAAGTAGTTATAATAATATAAATATCATTTTTATATTTAAAAATAATTGATA